CAGCCACATGCCAACGTGATGATGGTGGTGGTGATAATAATAACGGTGGTGGTGGTGATGATGGTGGAGGTGATGATGGTGGAGGTGGTGGAGGCGATGATGGTGGAGGTGGTGATGATGGTGATAATAGTGGTGGTGATGGTGATGATGGAGGTGATAACAGTGGTTATAATGGAGATGATGATCATGGTGATGATGATGATGATGACGGTGGTGGTGGTGGAGGCGATGATGGTGGAGGTGGTGATGATGGTGATGATTGTGATGATGGTGGAGGTGGTGGAGGCGATGATGGTGGAGGTGGTGGTGGTGATGATGGTGATGATGGTGGAGCTGGTAGAGGCGATGATGGTGGAGGTGGTGGTGGTGATGATGGTGATGATGGTGGAGCTGGTAGAGGCGATGATGATGGGAGCCACATGGGGACAGGTTCATCTGAGCGGCGACCTCCTCTCTGTTGGGGGTGCCTTGACCCCACGTGACCCCACTCAACACCTCCCCCCACCCCCGGCCCCCCAACCCCCCCACCACCCCACACCCCCACAAACGCCCCACACCGATGCAACACCCACCAACTAACATTCTCGACTCTCAGCCACAGCGATCAATACTCCTCACGCACACTCGCCCAACAAAGACAAAGATCCCCCATGTAGCCCGTTTGGGGCAAGTGCTGTTAGCGAGCATCTATCAAGGCCGGCACGGCACACGAGGGGGTGGGTGGCCAGCACAATGCCCGGCCGCCTTTGTCTCTCTAGCGGGAATATTTACACACTGCACCAGGTACTCATTTGAGGCTGAGTCGATCTAGGGGAGCAGACCCAAGACCGGCTCAGATAATCGTCACTGGTATGGCCGTGAGCGGGAATCAAACTCGGGTCGCCGGGTTCGTAGCGCAGCGTGATAACCACTACACTACCGCTTCTCACACCCAGCCAACACACTCGCCAACAATGAACTCTCGCAATCAGCCAGAACACAACAGCAGTCACCCGCAACGCACCTCCCATTAGCACAGTTGGCTACGTACGGCGCGAAAGAAGTTTAACACACACACAACATTGACCACTCACAATCACACGCCAACATTCAACACTCATAACCACACACGCAGCCAACAAAAGACAAAGATCGCCCGCTGTAGCCTTAGCAGACTGTTGGGGCAAGTGCTGTCACCGATCAGCTATAACGTCCGACAAGCCACACGAATCGGTGGAGTAGCTGTAACTACGCTCAACCCCTTTTATATCCCAATTGGCGATGTTTACACATAGCACCCGGTACTCATTTGAGGCTGAGTCGACCTAGGGGAGCAGACCCAGGACCGATTCAGATACTCGTCACTGGTGTTAGCCGTGAGCAGGATTCGGAGCACCGTGCGCTAACCACTGCGCCACCGCTCCCTACACACCCCGACAAAACACACGCGCACCAACACTGAACACTCACAATAACACACCGCTCTGTGCCAAAGTCTTGTGTAACTCAAAACGATGTTTTTATTACTGCTGTTATACAAAACTATAAAGAACGGATGCGGACAGCGTTGGAATCCTGCTGCTGTGAAATCTGTGATGGAGCACCCAAGACGCGCCACGCGGCACCGCCTTGAAGTCGCTCCACTCCCTCACTCGCTCACACACCCACACACTCACTCACCCAGTCTCTCGCTCACTCACTCACCCACACAATCACCCAGTCTCTCGCTCACTCACCCACACACTCACTCACCCAGTCTCTCGCTCACTCACCCACACACTCACTCACCCAGTCTCTCGCTCACTCACCCACACACTCACTCAAGCAGTCTCTCACTCACTCACCCACACACTCACTCACCCAGTCTCTCGCTCACTCACCCACACACTCACTCACGCAGTCTCTCACTCACTCACCCACACACTCACTCACCCAGTCTCTCACTCACTCACCCAGTGTCACACTCACTCACCCAGTCTCTCGCTCACTCACCCACACACTCACTCACCCAGTCTCTCGCTCACTCACCCACACACTCACTCAAGCAGTCTCTCACTCACTCACCCACACACTCACTCACCCAGTCTCTCGTGCACTTACCCACACATTCACTCACTCACCCAGTGTCTCGCTCACTCACCCAGTGTCTCGCTCACTCACCCAGTGTCACACTCACTCACCCAGTCTCTCGCTCACTCACCCACACACTCACTCACCCAGTCGCTCGCTCACTCACCTACACACTCACTCACCCAGTCTCTCGTGCACTTACCCACACATTCACTCACTCACCCAGTCTCTCGCTCACTCGCCCACACACTCACTCACCCAGTCTCTCGCTCACTCACCCAGTCTCTCGCTCACTTACCCACACACTCACTCACCCAGTCGCTCCACTCACTCACCCAGTCTCTCGCTCACTCACACACTCACTCACCCTCACTCACTCACCCAACCACTCACTCACCGACCCACTCACGCAACCATTCACCCACACACTCGCTCATTAACCCACCCACCCACTCATCCAGTCACTCACCCATACATTTGCTCACTCACCCAGACATTCGCTTAGTCACGCAACCACTTATCCAGACACTCGCTCACTCACCCACCCACTCATTCTCAGTCTCCCACTCACTAACCCGCTCACTCACCCACCCATCCACTCACCTGTTCACTCACTCACCCAGACACTCGCTCACTCACCCATCCACTCATTCTCAGTCTCCCACTCACTAACCCGCTCACTCACCCAGACACTCGCTCACTCACCCATCCACTCACTCACCCAGTCACTCGCTCACCAACCCACCCACTCACCCTTTCACCCGCTCATTCACCAGGAATAATTGAATCTAAAGCAGTCGAGTTGATTGATGATCCAGAACTCACCGATTATTTCCAGCCAGTCGCTCACCGACAGCCGGTCTCCTCCCTGTCACTCTCCTGTCGCTGCTACGACTACCACCGCCACTATGGTTGCCCTTCCCGTGAACTGAATCCACCAATTCCTCCTCCCACGATTGAGGATTCTGCAAACCGATCTGACCCGTACCCAGGTACCAACCACGTGTGTAATGCTCATGTAGACACACACGCGCACACGTGTGCACGGTATATCATCAGCGACGTTGAAATCCACGTTACATTTTGCTCAATTAACCATCCTCATCGCAAATCCTGCACCGCCCACCGATACCCCCCCCACATCCCCCACTCATCCCTTCCGTCCTCCATCCCAGAGCGCCACATGGTCTACCCCCCCCCCCACCAATCGTCGTCCCCTTCACCTCCGCCCCCTACTTGAGTCAATGCCAAAAACTAATTAACGAGACGCCCCCCCACGCAGACCTCCCCCCCCCCCCCACGGAGCGCTAATGATGGAGGCGGAGCCACTCAGCGGCGGCCCACGTGGAAGCAGAGGTCGCCATCCGAAATTGGGCAATTAGTTAATTGCTCTAACACGTGTTTAGGTAACGCGTTTGCGGATGGGAGGGGGGGTCTCATTAAAGTCTCGCCGTGGCGGCGGGGGGGGATCGCGCGGAGATTTGCGAAACTCCCCAAAACGATGTTGATGGAGGCGGTGGGTTACAATCACGTGGGGATCTCGCGTCCGTTCGCGAAGTGACGCTGCGCGGATCGGTGCGTGTCGTCGTCAGCCCTCTCGATGAATGCGTGGGTGAGGGGTGGGTGAGTAGTGGGGGGTGGGTGAGGGGTGGGTGGGGGGTGGGTGAGGGGTGGGTGAGTGGTAGGGGGTCGTGGGGGGTAGTGGAGCAGGACCCTCCTGCAAAGTAGCTAATAACAAGCGCTTCTCGTCAACAAAGACACCCCGTGTAGCCTTAACTGACTGTTGGGGCAAGTGCTGTTAGCGAGCACCTATGCAGGCCGGCACGGCACGCGACTGGGTGGGTGGCCAGCACCACGTCCAGCCGCCTTCGTCTCCCCAGTGGCGATGTTTTACACACCGCACCAGGTACTCATTCGAGGCCGAGTCGACCTAGGGGAAGCCCAGGACCGGTTCAGACAATCGTCACACTGGTGTCGGTTTGGCCGCGAGCGGCAATCGATCTCGGGTTCGTAAGCGCAGCGCAGCGCTAACCGCAGCACCACCGCTCCCCACACGACCGTGCCACCGCTGGCGAGAGAGAGAGAGGGGTCGAGGGTCGTCCCGAGCGGGCTGCTTCCACGCGCGCCGTGTGGATGGCGAGCAGCACCCCGAGGTCTCCGGCTATAGATCATCTCCCCGAGCGGCAGTTTACACTCCGAAGCAAGTTTCTAATAACAAACCCCGCCCCGGCAGCTTTATCCACTCAGAAGGTGAAAAAAGATTCCGAAAAATCGAGACGTCCCAAGTCGATCAGCAAGTCGCGTCCGGTGGGTGAAGTGTGGGTACCGTCACTTCTAGAGCCCCCTCCAATGGAGGCCTTTATGCCAGCACGTGTACCCGTGTAACCTCGTCGTAACAAAGTTAACATTCAGAACAAGTTGCCAATCCACTGCTGGATGAAGGCCTTCCGCCCCCCCTCTCCCCCGCGTCGATCGTGGAGGGCTGTTCAACCATACTTCACCGCGCTGGTCAGAGCGGATTGGTGACGGGGAGGGTGGCGGGAGCAAGGGCGGTCCAGGCACTCGTTAAAGACCGAGTCCGACCTAGTGTGAGCCCCAGAACCGGTTCAGGTGCGACTCGCCGCTGATGCGTTCATAGCGGAATGTGTCAACCACTGCGCCACCGCTCCATCCCAAAAAAATACACATCTCGGTCAACCTCGCCTCGAGATTCGTCTCTCGTCGTTTGGGATTCTGGATAATCGAGGGTGCGACAACACGCAGTCGGGGTGAAGGTCACGGTGGGTATGCAGGGTCAGGGTGACTGTTGAAGAGTCAATATCGAGGTTGAGTTCAAGGTCGAGCTTCGTGTCAAGGTCAGAGTTAACGAAGTTACCGCCGCACTCGCTCAACTTTGCGACACGCGCCGCGCTCAGATTCGGTACCCGCGCTCACCTCCTCCTCCTCCTCACCTGCTCCACCACACCAACCTCCTCCTCCACCTCTTCCTTCTTCACGACTGCTTCGTAAAACCGCTGTCGGGGTCTGGCAGCGAAGCTTCAAGGGGCGAGAATTCCTCCTCGCGAGAAGCTCCTCCGCCCGTCGCTGCCCGCGCTTTTGTGATCGCACGCAAACCCCTCTCACTCCACCCCCTCCTACAAATCCCCTTCCTCCTCCCAGTGCGCGCAGCTCATTAAGCACGGCACCTGGAGATGAGCACCAATTAAGGCGACTGAACAGCAGCCGATGCCGTGTTGAGAGTGAATGGGCGTGTGCAAGCAAAGGTTCCCCGTATAGCCCGCACAGGCTGTTTGGGGCAAGTGCTGTTAGCGAACGCGATGGGGTGGGGGTGGTGTGGTGACAAAGCGCGCCCAAGCCGCCTTTAACTCATCTCTCTCTCTCTCCAGTGCAGATCAGCACAGCAGCACGATGTTATTGCTCATTGAAAGCTGAGTCGACCTGGGGGAGGGCCCAGTACCGGTTCAGATATCAAATATTGATAGATTCTGATGTTGGCCGTGAGCGGGAATCGAACTCTGGTCGCCTGCAGCGCAGTGATTGGTGGCGACATCAGAGTACTTGTGCCAGGCTAGGTGCACTGTGCGGTCATCAAGCGCGGAAGGCTCGCTAATAGAAGGTGCTCACGGGACACTCAGGTGTTACAGGTGAACTGATGTGCCAGACTGAGTGAGTGAGTGGTGGGAGGAGTCCACCGGGCAGACCCAGGTGTTATAGGTTGACTTGACGGACAGATGACTGGCGGAAGACGCACTACCTGTGCTCGCCTCTCTGTGCCAATTCGTTGTTTTAGCCCGTGGGCGTTCTACTCGTTGTTGTGAGCGTAGCTCCTCAACTCTCACACACAACAAAGATCCCCCGTATAGCCTGTAACAGACTGTAGGGGCAAGTGCTGTTAGCGAGCACCTACATACACACAACTCTCTCTCGCTCACTCGCACACAGATTGTTGCCGATAAATAATTCACGCGAGTTTGCGATGATGGTCTGGGCGTCGGGGTCTGCCCCGTGTCTCTGCGCTCCATTAGTGGAACATTGTCAGAAAGGATTATCGGTTCCGGAATCGGTCATAGTTTCCAGTGGAATCTTAGCAAAAGCATCGATTGCGCGGAACGCACCGGCGCCGCGGTGGCTCAGAGATGTTAACTACCTCGCCTGGTATGGAGGAGGTCGTGGGTGGTTCGATCTCGGCCCTGACGCCTGCTGCTGTATATTTGGACTTTGCATGCCTCGCTCTCCCCGTGGTCGCGTGGATTTTTCTCCGGGTTTCCCCCCCCCCCCCCCTCCACATTTAGAAACACGCGATTAGAATATTTGGCTGCTATCAATGTCCACGTAAGCCACTTCGTTGAGCTATCATTTGCGGCTCGGTCGCTTCTGATAAAATAAAAATGTAGTTTATATTCTTTGCCCTAATTTTCTCCGTTTACAAGGCGCAGCCCCCTAACATTGTCTCGCTCTCAGCCACAGCTGACGGAAGGGACCTCTCCCCACTCGAGTGGGGAGCTCTCGAGTGGGATTTGGCCAACTCGTCCACGCTGGCCACACGTGTTGGAAGCGATGTGTTACCCCCCCCCCCCCCACCACTTTGCCCCACCACTGCCACCACACGCGACCTTGCCCGTCGACTCTGGGTGGACATTGTCGGTGTGGGGGTCTATTTAAGAAACGCACCCCCATTGTGTTCACTGCCGCGCCAGGAGATCTACTTAAACCGACGACCTCTGAACATTCAAGTGTGCTAACCACTACACACATTACACCACGCACGGCAGCTCCCTTCGTTTCTCAGTTAAAATGTTAAACCATTACGCTTAGTGCTGCGGACATGTCTGTATGATGCGTATAATCGTTTTCTTTTTCCATCCCGTAATGCAAATCCTCCCCCCCCCCTCCTCCCTCCACTCCCGCCGTGAAGGATTCTCCAACCAGCCCTTCCCAGAGCCCCAGCAGCATCAGGTTCTCCGTGCCCAGCAAGTGCCCCCCCAACCCCCCACCTCACAACCTCGCAGAGCCACCCCCGTAGAGAGTTGGGGGGGGGGGGAGCACTTAAGGCATAGCAGATAAGGGCGTCTCCATCAGCCCCATGCATAATACATGGGGGCTACTGCTGCGAAAATGCCAGACACCTAACCAGGAGTGGCACACACGCTGTACGGCACTTGTACACAAATATCCCCCGTGCAGCCTGTAACAGACTGTTCGGGCAATTGCTATCAGCGAGAACCTATGAAGAGCGCGCGTAGGGGTAGCTGACCGCCTCTGTCTCTACCAATGCTGATCTTTACACTACGCGACAGAGTACTACATTTTAAGGCTGAGCCTACCTACGGGAGACCCAGGACCGTTTCAGTGCCGGTGGCCGTGAGCGGGGATTTAACTTGATCGCCTCCAACTGCCCAGAAGTGTCCTGCACGAGCCTCCTCCAGAGGCCGACGTTGACGCTGCTGGTACCAGTCTTCGGCAAGTCCACTCAGGTCCACATCCTCCTGTACCTACCACCTCTGCTATAGCCCGTGCCGCGCCCGTTTAGCCCCCTCGATCCGGCCAAACAGAAGCTGCTTGGGCATGCGCATGGTGGCTGGGCATGCGAGCTGCATGACCCAGCTAATGCAGTCTCGCTTGCCGGGGAAGCTCACTGATGGGACTGTGTCACGCACAAACACACTCGAATAAACACACTGCTCACTATAATTAATTAACCATAATTAATTCACTATGTGACACGATTTTTGTCCCTGGGTAGTAAGTGTTATTTTTTAATTGGTTATGCCTAAAAAGTATAGAAAATGGCTATTCCCCACAAACTTTGCTTTTGTGACCACGACTTTATGTGAAGGAATGACACAAATGCACACGTTTTATCATTGAAAATAGGTACATTTCAAAATATCACTGATCTGGTCACAAAAGCAAAGTTTGTGGGGAATATCCATTTTCTGTATGAGGCATAAGCAATTAGGAAATAACACTTACTACCCAAGAACAAAAAATAAATAAATTTGTTACACAGTGTTATTAATGGAGTGGATTATTAACTTTGCTTTGTGTCCTGGTCACAAAAGCAAAGTTTGTGGAGGATAATAGCCATTCTCTGTACTTGAGGCATAAGCAATTAGAAAATGACACTTAATACCCAGGGACAAATAAAAAGTTTTTGTTACACAAAACCAAGAATCATCAACACCATCATTCACATGAATCGTCGACCTTGTCTGTCAGGACATGGCACGCGCGGCTCCCACGTCCCTCACTCCACCCACCACCCTCCCCTGTCCCCCCAATGTATCCACCACCCCTCACCCCCCCTCCCTCAAGAGGAGCGCCCCCACATCCGCTCATCCACATCCTTTATTGATGTGCGAACGCTACAGCTGGAAGCCATGGCACTTGCACTTTCCCCACGGGGAATGCGCGCGCACACGTGGTCTTACCGCTAACAGCAGAAGCAATTACATCAGCGACTGATGTCCCTTTATTCAACCAAACTCACGGACATCCACCATCTCCCTTTGCAAGTAACATCATAGGTGACCCCTTCGTTGAACGACGGTCGCTCGTGTTAAAATGATCGATTCGGCTAATGTCTAGGCTGGGATGCGATATTCTCCAGTCGGCGATAGAGCTGCAGCAATAGTATCGATAAAAACTAACATCACATCGAGGCAAGTTATGCTACCGGGCCTCCTGAAAACAATAGAAATGACTCACAGGACTGGGGGGGGGGGGGGAGGCGAATGGATTCGCCGATTTAAAATCGATTCTTAGGCTCACGGTTCGCGAATCAAATCGTGCATACGAGAATCGATTTTTGTCAATTGTGGGGGTTGTTTGGCCATGCTTAACCCCACGCTTATCTGTGCAGGTTGGGGAAGGGAGTTGGCCCAGGGCTACTGGTTCTGATATCACTCGTCACGGATGTTGACCATGGCCGGGAATACAACTCAGGTGCCCTGGGTCATAACGCAGCGTGCGATACACCAGTGGCCACACCGCTCAAACCGCGTGATATGTTTGTACGTGGCTAGGCCACACGATCCCTGCAACCGCGATAGAGAGTCACAGGGTGTGACGCAATGTTAAAAAGAGGCATAGGTTCTCAAATAAAATCGTGAAAATTAATTGACATCACAAAGTCAGAGCAAGGGGGTGATGGAGCGGGTGGTGGCAAATGACTACATAACCGACAACACACATGGGCTTTCAGAAACGTGGACCTCCTGGCTAGAAAGTTCACTCTGGCCTCCACACGTGTAACATGTTCCCCTTCATCTGAGGAGGATGGGTGGCTCAGAGGTCAGAGAGCACAGGGCCAGCACCACTGAGACCCTGGGTTCCACGTGGGGGCTGTAGCCACCTGGAGTCAGTGGTTGCAACCTGGTCATTATGACTCGCATAAAGAGACCTACAGACATCTTCTTGGTTCTTTCGGTAAAGTCTCGTAGAAGGGAAATAATAAAATAATAAAAATAAAACATAATTAAATAATTCTCACGACGTTTCGGCCACAACGCAAGCAGCCGTCCTCAGGTGAAGAACAGGTCTGTTGGGAACCTGTTCTTCACCTGAGGACGGCTGCTTGCGTTGTGGCCGAAACGTCGTGAGAATTTTATTTTATTGTTTTATTTTTATTATTTCCCTTCTACGTGACTTTACCGAAAGAACCAAGAAGATGAATCCCTGCAGTCATGAAAGCTTTAAATCGAAATTTTGACCCACAGACACTCGCATAGACAACGAAAGATTGACGTAGAGACTGATTTGTGATCAAAACTAGGTTCTCATGTGTAGTGAGTTGATGGTCTCAGCCAGGTCACCAGTGATTGTACGTACACAAAAAAACCCACAACAATAATTTGGGGTTTCACTTAATTTGGCTACATTCCTTGGAGAATTTAAAACATGGATTTGACAGTTATGCGACAAACATTATCCGTAGCAGGCGGGAAGGAATGTGCTGCCCCCCGTGGTGTGGATAAGAGTTGACTTGAAGGGACCTCATGATAATTTTTTTAGCCATCCTCTTCTGCGAACCTTTCTCCAAATCGCGACGTTTTGCGAGTTTCTAGCGGGTTATTCGTCCCATTGCACCA